ATTTAATTGTGTGGAAACCATTGTTCCTTAATAATTCGAACCTGTCTTTCATGTTTCCTGATCGATGCATAACTAACTACAGCACGTCGCTGTATTGTGTAGAATGGAAAAAAAATGAGGTTTTTCTTTTCATGTTGAAACCTGTTTTCGGAATGGTTCTTCTTCGCTGATTACTCAATAGTCTTTTACTCTATTTAGTGGACCACAAAGAGACATTCATGCACATTAGTAGAACAAAAATGAAGAGCTCATATTACAAAATTGTTTTTTTATTGAAATGGAAATCATAAAATATGCTCACAGCAATTCATTTTAGTTCTTGCATTTACGATTATATGAAATTTCAATGGAATAAAAACAGCGAAAATTTTTTCTGCCTATAAATTTGTAAAAAAAAACATGTCTGCATGGCGTATTCAGTTTAAAAGGAATTTTATTGCATTTTTCATTCAATAATAGTTTAAATAGATATTGATTTGGTACTGCGGCTCTGAAAAGAACGATCAATTTTTGAATTAATCAGAAAATTTTCTTCTGTCATTGTTATTCATGAAAAGTGGTCAACAAGTATTTTTCTCAAAATTGTATTTCCTGTCAAAATTTATTTCTGCTTTTTCCATCGTCGTTGGAAAACTAGAAGGATTTATTATAGGTGGGAATAATCTTAACTAGAAAGATCCGTGAAAATTTTATGGTTTTCCTATTTTAATCTTCTGATGAATCTTACTTATTTTTTCAGTTAATAGTTGAATTAGCCAATGGCGAGTTCCATGACAATAAAATATCCGTAGAAATTTCCCTATCACATCGTTAAATATTTGAGCTTAACAACTTTAATAAAATATTCCAATAACATTCATAAATATGAATGATGGTCGTTATTTTAAGAAATAACGAAGTACAAATGAAAAGATTTCTAATTGACAACTTTTACCATTTTACTGAAATAGATGTTAAACGCTTTCTATGCCCCCTTCTTTCTTTCTTTCTTTCTTTCTTTCTCATAATGTCCTTTTGTAAAGTTACAAAAGTTGAATTTAATATAATTGACCATTTTGCAGCTATTCTGGAAGATGAATTTTTAAAAAAAATCTGCAACTCTTCAGTGCCACATAATTAGGGAGAAATCGAACGTTTTAACCAATATAAATCTTTATTATTCCATTTTCGGATAATTATAAAAAAAATCTTCACTTTCTATTGAAAATAATTAAAAGTAATCTATCTATTATATATCGTCAGGATAAAGAGGGGGACATTGTTATCTTAACTGCATTACCGTTTAGAAGTTTCTCTTTTGGGGGATAGAGTAGTAGAGGGTGTGTTATTGTTGGATCGAGGATGCCTCCAGGTGATCTGTCGGGTAGGGAGCTGGAAGATGGCATTGCTTATGAGAAGTTTGCGCTCAGCAAAACCCGTTTTAATTGCAATTACTATAGTCCCTGTTTCCGATTAGTGGACTCCACATTGCAGCATCATTCTCCACTCCGGCAATGATGTCGCCGGGGTTGCTCTGAGCTCTCCATCCCCTGACACCCCCTGCCCCACCATGCGGTGTCTGCAGACGATCCAACATAGGTCTCATTTCACACAGAAGGAAATGTCGATGAGCACTCCAATACTCGGCAACGAGTTCCACCAACGATGGCGACAAGCGTTTAGCAGGTTTGGATTTTGTATTGAACTAATTTCGGTATCGTCACTTTTATAAATTCTAAGAGTGTATAGGTGGTTGCGAGAGGGGTAGTGGTTTATGTCACTGAGTATGGAATCGGTGGATCGACTTCAAACTTTGCTTTAACCTTTTAAGTTATAGTTAAATTAAAGGGCAGTAGGGGTCCGTTAGTCTTGGAAGGCAATCAGTCTTTCGCATTTGGCAATAGGTCAGGCCAGAGATCGTTCCTTGCTTATGATACCAGATAACTTAGTACAATGTGTCATATGTAAGGAGATGGGAACTACCAGGAACCTCTGAGAATTACCATGAATTCTGACATAGGGCATTACGACCCTATAACTGGTCGTGTGAAACGAACGTGATCTAAATATAGGTAAAGAGATTAATATTGATTTAATGTAGAATTCAATAAATAAAATACGAAACGTGAAAAGTATTATTTTTTATTATTTGTAAAGCTGATTGTTTATTTTATTTTATTTATGATGCTAAAATCGAATTCCTTCCTAGCTCTTAGACTTTTTTAGAATAGAGTTAGCACATTCGATATCCCAGCCCCTTCCTTTTCGAGTCAAATAATCAACGTAACATTTATTGCAATAATCCCAATGATAACATGAAGGAAGCTTCTATATGGCCAGTAGGAATTTGAGGAAAGATTTAATTGAAAATAAGGAAGGCTAAAAGATAATAAGAGAACACATTTGCATAAATATTGCTGAAGAGAATAATTTGAAAACTAATCACGTCGAGAAATCATTAATAAAATCCAAGTAAACTTGTAAGCTGCAATTAAAGAGTTAATACATCAGATTAAAGACAACCTTACAGTCATATCGTCCTTTCTTCCTTATTTGTGAATAATAAGACACATTTCTCTTTCGTATCCAATGTAACCTCAGCTAAGAAAACGTAAGAAAGCAAAAGAAGTTGGCCAACTAATATTACATTTTATGCCTGTGTATAATGCATTGAATCTTAAAACTGTAACATCAAAGAACTATTGATGAAATACATTTTTCTGAATAAAGGAATTTATTTTTTTTATGCAATAAACTGGTATAGATTCACTCAGAACAAACCATATTTATCAACAAGTGTAACCTGACTAAAAACAAAACAACCAATATTTATTTTGCTTCAAAACCACCCATGTTTGTCTGCTGGTGAGAGAGCTTCATATGTTCGTCTTGCATCCTAAAACGTTATTTTTCAAATTATCTATTGGTATGATAAAGAAAATTCACCTCTTTTTACGCCAAACTAATGCTCTTCATCTATCTGGCTTTTTGTCGCTCTTAAAATACTCCCAATGGTGATTGCTCAGCGCGTAAATGTCTGTTTGGTGGATGTTTTGTTGATTCAAAATTCGAGTAACCATCGGAATCACGACATATATGTCTACTCACCAAGATGTTTTCCATTCAACTGAGAGTTACATTTCGCCACCGGGAGGAATTATTATGTCCTTACATTGTTTATTAGAGATTCTTCAAATCTTGTGAGTGTTCGTAAGCTTGTTTTCTTGCAACACAGATTACAGCAAGCCGGAATATTGAATTCTCAATAACAGAAAATCAGTAGTAGCAAATAGAGTGGGCAGATAAATTGAGTCACAGCAATGCCTGTAAACACAGATAATTCTATATTATATACAGGTTTATCTCTGTTGTGATGTTAGAAGTAATAGACAACTAATGAAGCTAGCTATTTATTTGAAACCTTAATTTTACATTTAATGATTTTTTAGACTTTTTTTAAAAAGTTAATTATTGATACGAACGGTGTATCTTGTTTACTACGTTATCTAAAATTAATGATATAATCTGTGTTGTGTTACCCAAAGGTAAACTTCAGAGCGGAGAGGGAGATCAGGAGTAAAAATCTACTTTGAAGAATACGAGATCTGCGGAGTGGATGACTCAAGGATGGTATTAAGCGTTCGGATTTTTTTTCTCTGTCGACTAATAGAAAGATATTCAACAGGACATAACATAATCACTCATATTTGGGACGTTCCCTATCGAAAAACAGAAAAAAAATCCACTATATTTGCGTGATTCATAATCTTTTGTGGCTTCATTGAAGATGATTCCATTGCAAGAATTGTCAGATAACTTGATTTTGGGATCTGCTTGATTATTGCTGGTGAGAAGTTGGAAGATGGGTCTATGTAAACTGGTTTGTCGTTGGGTTTATTTTTATATGGTTCGTATGTATCTTTTCATAGGTTGAATCTGACATATAGGAAATCTACTTCTTTTAGGTTTTTTATGTTTATGACGAATCTTATATTTTTAAAAAATTTCATGGATATTTTTCTGGTTTCGACTGTGTTTTTATCTGTTACAATTTCTTAGGATTATGTGACCGTCGTTCCTGCAGAGGCCCATATCATTTTTGTTGATTATTGTACTTAATTCACGTAGTAAATGTATACCTATAAGCCCGCGGGTTTCTGCGCCATTAAAGCTTCCCATTGTAATGTCAACGGTTCCTTCTTTCTTTATCCATGAGTTCTTCTTGTCGAATAATAGTGATTTGGAGAGCGTTTAATGATTTTTCCTTCGTTTTTGCTTATCTTTTTTTTTATATTTTTCTTAAGGTTAGGGGTGGCCTTATCTAGCATGGGTTTGAATATATAAGGGTAGATATCTAGTTGTATAAATTCGCAATTATGTTTGTTGTTTAGTTTGCGGAACCAGTCTAGAGTTGTTTTGTGTTTTTTTTCCACTGGTTGATTCCTAACTTTGTCCTTAATTCTGAGTTAATCCTTTCTAGTATTATTTTACTTACTTTACCTCGTTCACTTTTAGTTGTGTCAATGAGTCAGTATATTATGTTTGTTTTGAAGTTTTCTTTGTGGACTTTTGTGGAATGATGTTGACCCCACTGTCCATTTTTATATTTACATATATAAAGAAGACATCTGACGATATTTCGAGCCATAAACTCCCAGTAACTTTCTACAGCAGCCTGGAAGTTGCAGTTACAATGTCTGGCGTTCAAATAAACCTTTTGATTCAACCACGTCCAATACATTTCCGATCAGGCTTAGATCATGGTAGGAGTTACAGCATTTGTCGGAAATCTCTATAATGCACCTCAAAATATTTCTAGGCAGCTCAAAACCGATGACACGATAATCTTGTTAGAATAAACCATGATTATTGGGGTAAATACAGTCTACTAATAGGTACAAATGATCGTAAAGCAGTACATCATAATAGTGACATGTTTAAAATTTGTTATTTATTAGGAAAGTGTGTTAAATATAGTATAAACTTGGTCTGGCGATTTCACTAAATCGTGAAACTGGCAGTATTGCTTTCTATCTATCTATCTATCTATCTATCTATCTATCTATCTATCTATCTATCTATCTATCTATCTACTCAATGATTCATATGCCTGGTAATCATTAGGCATAAAGATGATGATTCACGAAATTTTAAGTAGCATCGAGCGGTGAGGAACAACTATAATTAGCTGTTACTTTCCATCGAGCACTGTTTTTTGCTCCCACCACTCACACTGTGCACTATATATATATATATATATAGTAAGGTAATGAAAGGTGTGGTAATCCGTGCGGATAATTCCAAAGAGGATATAAGGAGCTCAATGAAACAACAGAGCAAATATTAATTAAATAATTAAAAGAGAAAGAAACTTAAGGTTGCATGACTGTAATTTATTTTCTAAGAAAATATATTTTTCCTGGTTGATCAGGTAACATCTCTAGTTACAAAGGAATTTGATCATAATAATAATTCCTTTGTAACTGGAGATGTGACCTGATGAAACAGGAAAATATATTTTCTGGGAAAATAAATTATAGTCATGGAAACTTAAGGTGTTTCTTTCAATTATTTAATACATACATACATACATACATATATATATATATATATATATATATATATATATATATATATATATATATATATATATATATCGCTTCTAGTAAAAAGCAGTTCCTCCAAAACTGCGTTTTGTTACTTTTTCAGCACACCGTTTGTATATTATGTATATATATATATATATATATATATATATATATGTGTGTGTGTGTGTGTGTGTGTGTGTGTATGCAGTGATCATAATACTTTCCCTGTTTTAAAACGTATAGCGCCACCCGTAGATAAAAGAATTTATGTTAATTGTTCTCCGTAAACGCACAAAATTTATTGTTGTATTAATATTATTTTTAAGCTATGATTTTATGACTTCGAAATTCTAAAAATTTATGATGTTCCTAGATAAAATGATATATATATATATATATATATATATATATATATATATATATATATATATATATATATATATATATATACGGTGTCCATAAATTATCTGTATAATATAAGAAAATTAATATAAAATGAACAAATGAAGATAACTCTACAGGTGTCATTTGAAAACCGAGGACAATAAATAAAGTTTTATTGAAAGATATCAGAACACTTTCACGTCGTCTCCATTGGTTGTACGCAACACATCTTGATGATGCTTTATTTATGTTTTCTGCAAAACATTTCCTGTTTCCATAAACTTCTTATGCCAGGCACAGATGCTAAAACAACAGTGTTTTTTTTATACTCTGTACTGTAATTACGCTGGAAATGAGTGTCCCATTTGATGTTTATGGGCCAGGATTGTGTCTTCTCTTTCGGTGTTGTCATTTCCATGAAAATCGCCTTAAAAAGATAAAAAGAAAAGTGAATTAAAAAGGAACAAAATATATATAAATTAAAACTTTAATAATATCTCTTTAACAAGCAAAGAAGTGTATTGATCTTGAATACACTGGATACAAACATGCAGAAGCTGTACAGATAATTTATGGACACACACACACACACTGATTTATTTATGACAAATAAAAATATCTCAGTAGGGTTTCAAATCCCCGGAATTAAAGAAATAATATATCACAAAAGACAAGTTCAGGTTGGTATCGTAATGATTTTCATTACTAAAAGCAAGAAGAAAAAGAAGAAAAAGAGCAAAAAGAAAAAGACGTAACGAAGAAAATGAATGGCATCATCATCAATAACAACAACAAAATAGATACGAATAAAATTATCCAGGTAAACATCTTCATGCGAATTAATAAATAAAATCAGAAAAAAAAAAACATTTCTGCTAATACAAGCATTTAATTAATTATTGAATTATAAAAGGTATATAAAATTGATGCCAAGTTGTTAGAAGGGGTTTTGTGGTTGGAACGAAATTAGAGTCTCTATAAACAGGTTACAAACAAAGTAGAGTGCAAACCAATGACCTTCCATTGTTTCCATGCTTCTCTTTCTTTTCCTGCCAACAGAATGAATCAATAAATTCTTAGAATCTTTGGAATCGTACAAATTGCCAATCATTAGGAGCAGATGCCGATTCTCACGGTTAAAGGTATTATTAGACATTATTCACGACTGACAGTTGGGTGATCTTAACAATAAGAAAGACAAATTTGATTCGGGTTTGTTTGAAGCCCAGAGTGATTTAATGTCAGAGTACAGGTCTCCACCTTTTTTTTTAAATTAAGACAATTTTAGTACAAATTCACTTTGATTTGCAATATGTCGAAAAGAGATGAGGTAAATTTCTGTGAATTTACTTGAGATATTTATTAAAAGAAATTCGGTTCTCAGTTTGTGTCGAAGCCGAAGGTTCGTTATTTGTTGTGGCTTATGAAGATGGTTTGAAACCCGACAACATACTTGGCTATCTAGCATCACGTATTTTTCCTATCAAATATTCCTTTGTAAACGCCCATAACATCTGGCAAACCCGCCCCTAACCTACGTACCCTTTAAAAACTCAAATATTCTACAATGACGACGGCGCTGTCAGCCATAGGGCAAAATCTCAAGCAAAGATATTTGGGAACGTTGAAAATGATTCCTATTAATGGTAATTGTTTCTTCGTTTTACAGCATTTCAACTCATGAAAGATTTCATAGGAACGTTGATTTTTGATTTTGCGTAGTGCACAGTATCTGTAAGTGCGTATAATATGTGCATCAATGTTAGAAGAGTGGGGATTCTGTACGATCGTTGATTTAACTCGATAAACTATTAAAATGCAACGACAGAATTACAGGAATATATTTTTCACCAAATCCGTGTAAGACAATCGAGAAATCTTACACTCGCATCTCATTTATATTTCAATCTGAATACTGATGTTTATATCCGTATTTTTGATCTGAGAAAGTGACGAATGAAAAGGTCCAATTTCATAATAAACAGAAGCGAGGATATTTACGCTTCAGGGGACAGTTTGCGAATGTTAAATAGAATCAAAGTTTTGTATTAAATTGACATATGCTAGTGACATTTAATCAATGCCGTTCATTTGGATATGGCTGAAGCTGAATTTTTCAAGTTTCTATCTATCTATCTATCTATCTATCTATCTATCTATCTATCTATCTATCTATCTATCTATCTATCTCAGCATTTTCATTATCTATCTATCTATCTATCTATCTATCTATCTATCTATCTATCTATCTATCTATCTATCTATCTCAGCCTGTTCATTATCTATCTATCTATCTATCTATCTATCTATCTATCTATCTATCTATCTATCTCAGCCTGTTCATTATCTATCTATCTATCTATCTATCTATCTATCTATCTATCTATCTATCTATCTATCTATCTATCTCAGCCTGTTCATTATCTATCTATCTATCTATCTATCTATCTATCTATCTATCTATCTATCTATCTAGTTCTTCAGATTTCTCTCTCTCTCTCTCTATATATATATATATATATGATAAAATAAGGAACAAATAGAAAACGTATATTAATCTAACGTTTCAATTTTATGAAAGCGTCGCCAGAGATTAAGTGAAAACAGACAAAAATACAGAAAACACTGGTATTTTCAATTATGTTTGGGTCAATTCTCATTGGTCAGACACATGTCACGTGCATTGAACCGGTAGATAATTCTGTTTTTGGATGGTACAAAGGAGGAAAATTCCAAAGAATTAATAAAATTATAAAAATTAGTGTAACATCTAATGCTGGCCGAATTTACTTTTAATATTTTGGATGGTAAACGTTTATCTTTAGCAACTTTCTGACACTTTATGACATTTATTTTCTAGTACCGTACTAATTTGGGGGTGGGGATTGTTGACATAAGGATTTTTGGGTATATACAATCCCAGGATAACTTTAAATATGCTATTAGTCACATCTGTTCAATTAGATTTAAGTTTGAAATATTGGGTGGTTCTTCCAGAGTGGACAACATTTTTCGTTTTCCTTTATTTTGCTAAGTAAGGTTCACACAGATTAGGAGAATGTTTTGTCTAATTATCTTCTTACAAACAGAGTCAGTAAGTCTTGGACCACTTGGTACTACATGCTTAATATTAATCCGGTTATAATTTCATTATTGTTCATTAACCCATTTATAAAGCAAATATCGCCTACAACTCCTGCAAAGAAGCAACCTTGAATCTTAATACAGCTTTCACTATGTTTGTGTCTATACATTATCAATACAGGCTACACACTTTCTATTGATTTGTTATGTCCAGCAAAGGTTATAGATCAATAATAAACACTTTTAACATCTAACTGATGTTCCTGATTTAATGTTTGAAACCAGGCGATTTGAAGCCAAAATATCTGTTCGTTTAAATATTTATATAAATTACTACACATACACACATATATAATATTTCTATTATAAGAGATTATAATAAAAACATTTTGAAATCGCTATACAAACGCTTTCATGTTTCAATACTATGTTTATACTTCTTCAGGCGATGGTAAATAGCTGGTGATTAAATGATTTTTAAGGAAATTTAAAAACAAATTGTTACCTCTTCTCCGAAAGTTAAAGTGGGGAGGGAATAAAGTTAGAATTAAAAATAGACTTGTGGGAGTTTTGCTTAACCAATTGAATGATAGATCTACGCTAAATAGAAAAGTAATCTTTGTCGCCATATTTATTACGTTTCGGCCGTTGTACGCTCCGGCCTTCTTCAGTATCTGTCTATATTTCTGAGATGAGGTATTATGTACATTATTTACATTATTCGGACTATTGTCCTTATCTTTGTCGCCATATTTATCACAACGTTTCGGCCGTTGTACGCTCCGCTGCTTCTTCAGGTGGTTGGAATTTCGAACTGAACCCTTATTTTCGCTTACTGGGGTAGACTGTTCTAGTTCCACGTGCCATGTTTGATGGATGTCAGTTATCAGTTATCTCCTGCTAATTTCCCTCTGAAAGTTATCAGTTATCTGAAAGTTCTCCACTGCCTCACACTCTTTGGGTCCTGTCACTGGATCTAACCAACGCCTTTATCCACTGTGCCGTGTGTCCTTGACATCTGGGTATGAATTTCTGGGTATTATAAACCTAATGCCTTCAGA